CACAGCAATAGCAAATCAATCAAACTAAATCGACGGAAAAATGCTCGAAAAACTAGCCGACAATGTTCGGCTAGCTCTCGCTCCATACAACAAGACGCCTCACGTAGCAATCAAATTGCTAATCGTTGCTCCATTCTGTCAGAATCGGATTTTGAGGCACCTGATCAACAATCGTCACAACAGCCTCAACGGCTACAATCACACAATGTCCCTTCAATAACAAATAATTGTTTAGCTGACGCTGTTCAGGCTGCTTTGGCATCCACCAAACGGCCAATAGCGACAGACATTGTTTCAAACTTAGAGCAAATAGAGTCGGCAAATGTAGTTGCCACCGCTGCTTCTACGGCTACTACTTCGGCGATTATTCCAAATCTCACCACAGCCACTTCATATTCTCTATCTACTCTTCTTTCATCACAACAACAACAACAACAACTAAATCAAGAACAGGTTGGTGATGGCACTGTTTTGGCCCCTGCGGGTAAAAACTATAAGCCGCCACAAATATTTATCGATAATATTATGCAACCAAATCAAAACGGCATAGAAGCACTTATTGCCAAACTTAACGGCCACAATCCGCCCATAAGTGATTATGGGCTGAAACTAGGTGGCCCGGGCACAGTGCGAATTTTGCCAAAAAACACTGAAACTTATTCGAACATCATAAAAGTCCTTGAGGCAGATCAAACATACCACTATAACACATACCAGAGGCGGGAGGAGCGTTCATTTCGGGTAGTAGTGCGTGGCATACATGCCACTACTAGCACTGATGCTATCCGAAATGAGCTGTCTTATATGGGATATACGATCAGAAGCGTATACAATCCCAAATATAAGAATCGCAACGGCTCGGGTATATATCACCCAAATTTATTTTATGTAGAATTGGCTCCTAATCCTGCAAAAAATCGCACCATTTTCAATGTTCGCACACTATGCAAGTATGTCGTCCGATTTGAGTGGCCAAAAATTGACGACAATAGATTGCCACAATGCCATCGGTGTCAACGGTATAATCATACAGCACGATATTGCCGACACTCCGCACGCTGTGTTAAATGCGGTGATGGTCATTTGACACACACATGCACTAAACTGGCCAATCTTCCAGCCAAATGTGCCAATTGTGGCATGGAGCATACTGCCAATTACAAAGGTTGCCCACTATATCTTGACCTACTCAACTCCAAACTATTGGCCATGCCCAATAGCAAAATAACAAATTCCAAAATTCGGCCAACTCAACAGCCGAATTTACAGCGGCGGCATAAGCAACCGCAACGTCAGCCATCTGCACAGTTGCAGTTGCAACTTATGCAACAACAACAACAAATACCATTGCCAGTGCAGCAGCAACAGCAGCTGCAGCAGCAACAAATGCATATGCCTATGCCAATGCCAACGACCCTTAATAAAAGCAATAAAAAGAAGAAAAAACAAAATAAAAAGCGAAAACAAAATATTGGACAAACAATGCCGCAGCCTATGCAACAACAACAACAACAACAACAGTCAATTGTTGGCATACCGTCCGCAGCTTCCATCATACCTGTCCAACCAATCATCGCTAACGCAATCAATTCGGCAAAAAATGCCAAAAAAATCAAAGCCTCCAACAATTTAGATCCTCGCGCCAGACTAGCGCACATTCAAAAGTTGCAACAGCAACAACAACAACAACAGCAACGTCAAATGGGGCGAGAACAAATCGTTTCCATGCAGCGCCAGCTGCTCGACAATATGTCGAATCGGCAACCAGTAGCTGCTGACCAATTGCCCATCGGGCAACAACAACAACAGCATTTGCCTGAACCAATGCAAGTTGATATTGGTCAGCGTCAGCAATCGCTGCCATTACAACAATGGCAACAACAACAACAAAAAGCTACTCCTCAAAACAATCAAGAAAATCAAATGCTGCTCCAAATGGCGCAAAAGCAACAACAACAATTAGACAAGCTGATGGGCTGGATGATGCTTATGCAGCAGCAAATGCAGGGAGTCCTTCGCCACGGCGAAGACTCAACACTGCCGGCTGCATCCTCATCCAACTCAAACTGAACTGATCTGACCTCAGATCGGGTTGGTTGAACGGGGATCTTCTATACCTGGTTCCATTGGCTTATCAATTCATCCTATACAAGCAAATAAAACGCTTTCGCCTTTGAGGGTGAAATGGGGGGAAGAATCATGATGGGAAATTTTACTCCTTCACACTTACCTTCATATTTACCTTTTTTCCTTTTTTAAATTTTTTTATAATTTTCTTTTTCACTTACCTTTTACTTACCCAATTTTCAATTACATATCCTTAATTTCTCATCATAACCTCGTTTTTTCCATTCACTTCAAAATAAAAACAGAAATTTTCTTCTATACTTACCTGCTCATATCTGCATTTCTCAATGCAAACAACATAATTTCAACTCTCAAATCAACAGATCAAAATGAGCGCGCGTGCGTGTCAGCAGCTGCTATGCAATTCACTTGCTTAGCCAAAATTTGCCAACTCGCTCCACACACAAATCTCCTTACGCGCCTATGTGCTGGCGCACAAACTTACATGCATACATATGCGCACAAACATGCGCCCATCTATATTTGCATGCGACGCATGCATAGGCGCATGCACAATACACATGCATACATGCATACATGCACACACATACTCGCATGCGCACGACACAAGCGACACAAGCGAATAGCTCTACAATCACTCTGCCCGGCTGATCTCAGCCCAATTCTCTCTGCCCATCCCACAAACAACTGGCAACAACAACAACATCGCAGCAGCATCAGCACAGCTTTGGTTGTTTCAGCATTTCTTAATGCTTGCCACTTGTACATATCGTGATGGGTCGAGGGGGGAGGTGGCAGCTTTTTTCTTCACATCTCAACAATAATAACGATGGTACCTTTGCGCTCCATTCAGCTGGCGTCGGTCACCATCATCAACATCGCCAACAACATCATCATTATTAAAAATTTTCATCATCATCATTACAATTATGCTCAAGCATAATTCGCAAAATTCA